GACTTGCAGAACTTGGGTGTGTATATATATTTATATTGTAAACAGTTTATATAAGCTTAGTTGAGGCAGCAATGCATAAAATTTTATCTGCCCTTAAGTTTTCCATATCTTTTTGTTTACTTTTTGTGGTTGGAATGGATACTTCAAGCTTGCAACCCAGCCCCTGTTCTCTTTGAAGCTGTTTGCTTTTATTCAACACCTTACTTCAGAGGTTGTGTTTTGTTTCTTGGCTTTTTGGCTAAGATTGAATCACTATCACCCCCCACATCAGGACCTGCCAGGAGAGATTCCTGAATGACTCTGAGGGCCAAATTTATTGGTTACCCAGAGCCTAAACCAAACCGGGGCAAGGTCTTTGAGGTCACCTTGAAGTGGGATGCCAGTAACCATGTCATGCCTCATGGGGACTTCACACACTTTGACTGGTTTTTCATCAGTCAGGGCCTTCTCAGCTGTCTGCTGCTTAATGGCACCTTTGGCTCCAGAAACAATGACAAGAGATGCTGGAGGTGTAGCTGTGAAAATTAGACCATTCCCCATATCCTATGTGGCTGTAGGCCCTGTGCTAGAGCCTGACAACTCTCCCACAGCTTTTACCGGCCAATCCTGGTTAGTGCTGTCTTGGAGATAGCTGGAATGGTAGTGGTGAACCATGCTGTCCCCAGCAGTGACAGCCCCTTGTGCCTGGACATCATTGTGACAGACAAAGACAACAACTGGATCCTGATGATCAGTTTAACTGCCCCTTTGAGAACTGGTGGCAGGCCTTCGCTGGAGCCTGGGAATGAAAACTAAACAATTACAAGTCACTGACTGATATCCTGAGGGCCAAAGGGTATGCCATGACAGTGGGATGCTTGGAGCATGGGACCCCAGCAACGACAGCATCAGGGATGTTTGTAGAGTACCCCACTGTTATGCCAAGCTGATGAGGCCCCTCATGGTATCCAGTACTATTTGATGGTACACAGGCATCTGTGTTAAATGCATCATAGGCCATTGCCAATATGAGAACAGCTGCTCAAGACTGACAGCTGGAAGTGAGACCAAGGGGGTGGCCTGCACCTCCTTTGTACTTGCCATGAACTGACAAATCTCTCTGTAACCTGACTACCCCCCACCCCAGCAGTTGTACACCACATGCTTAGACTTGTATCTGAGCGTGTTTTACCAGGACATGACTCCCTACTGATGTGATTACAGTGCACAGGGTCTTGTATCCCCTTGGTAGTGATGCATTGCTTCCTTTTCCCCCCTCACCCTGGGCTCTCACATTTTGCATGACTAACCACGTGTCCTAGATTGCACCAATATACTGCAATTATATTACATGTAGCCATCATGCATGGGGTCCCCTATATTCTTCAGGCTGTACAAACCCATGTGACTAACTGTAGTTTTTTAACATTCACTAATAAAGTTTTAAGGTAGTTTAGGGTACTATATGCAACCTAGTTGTTTGAGGTGGTTTTGATTGCATTTCATCCATGCATCAGTTATTAAGATTCTCTGTTTTAATTTTTCTATTAATTTCTTTTTTTTATTGTAATTCTGTAAAGTTATTTATTTTTAAAATTTCAACTCTACGCCAAAAGGAACTTTGAAGCCTAAAAAAAAAGGATAGTAAGTTTTGTTCTGCATCGGTTTTCAGTAATGGCATCCTTATCTTGCACTTGTCTGTCTTGTTTTTAAATTAATGATTTCTCGTCTTTTACATCTGACTGCTCTCTGCTTTTTGAAGGTACCTCATTTGATTGAGAGTACTTCTGCTTTTCATGCATCATTGGTTATTTGATATTTTTGCTTTATTTGTCAGAAACTTCTATGGAATATTGTGAAATGTAAAAAAATAAAATAAAATTGTTGTTGTTGTTCTTGTTAAGAAAGGCATTCTCTAATATCTGCAAAAGTTTGTTCCCTCTTTGGATAAGTCTTACACTTGTGGATTTCTAAATTCTCATGCTATTGGCTTTATAAATAGACAGTATTAACTTCCATGTAAAGGCAGCTTTTTTTTTTAATTATTGCAGGCAAGAAAAGTTATTTCCAATCATACTTTCCCTTTTAGCTTCTAAAGACTTAAGTTTTCTCATCTTAATCTGTGACATAACATCTGTAAGAATTCAAAATGAGTTTAGTTATTAAAAACGGTGTATTTTTTTCCTATGAGGGACTTGTGCAAATAAACCTGAGTCTTAAGCAGGTAAACATGTTCTCTGAAGTTGAAGCTGAAGTTTTTTTTGGCTTTTTTTGTAGAAGTCATCTGATGGATCTAAGCATAGAGGAGACAGGATCTTATGTAGTGGTTACATTTCTTCTAATTCCTGCTAGACTATGGGCTAAGAAAATTTACAAAGATGAAAAACCCAAACAAGTAGTATAACTGAGATGAATCCTAGTGGTTTGGACAGATCTTCTGAATGCCAACCTCTTGCTTAGGCTGCCAGCTACTTCTGCTTTTTATGTCCTCCCATGTATGGTCTTTCTCATACTTCTATCCTCCCCAGGTCCATGTCTATTGGCCAAGCATGTTCCTTCTGAATGAGCTTGTGAGGAAGTGGTTGCGATTCAGCTATCTTATTAGAATTATTCCCCAAAGCCTGTGCCTGATTCATATTGTAGGTTGGATAGGGCACAGAAATATTAATAGATCTTGATGGAAGAGCTAAGAAGGCTGAGAGGGGATCTGGTGGCTGTCTATAAACTTACCAGGGGGGAACCAGCGGGGAATGGGAGAGGCCCTGTTGCTCCGAGCACTACTAGGAGTAACTAGGAATAACGGCCGCAAGTTGATCAGACTAGACATCAGGAGGCACTACTTCACAGTCAGGGCGGCTAGGATCTGGAACCAAGTTCCAAGGGAAGTGGTGCTCACTCCTACCCTGGGGGTCTTCAGAAGGAGGCTGGATAATCACCTTGCCGTGGTCAATTTGACCCCAGTACTCTTTCCTGCCCATGGCAGGGCTTGGACTTGATGATCTGCTCAGGTCCCTTCCGACCGTATCAACTATGAAACTTGTTTTTGCCTTCAGATTTACTACACCTGTTTCTGTAGACAGACAATAAAATCTAATAAGATGTAAAACAAGTACAACATTTTTTTACCTGCTTCTGCACTGGACTACTTTTACTAAAGGAGGGTGAGGAGAGGAAAACAAGCTGTAATGATGTATAAGGCATAAGCAGGCTGTGTCTTGAGGGGAATTGGTTTGAAGGAACCTTTCAGAGTGAAAATCATCAAGGTGGTCTAGTAGAAGAGAGATGCATGCATAGTTGAAAGAAGTAGAGACAAAATTTAAAAGCAAGGACATTAATGACAGTTTTGTGGTGTGGGGGTTGTAGATAGATGAAGCCTCCAGTATTTAAAGTATACAAACCACTCCTTATAGTACTCTGCTGCCTGGCTAATTGGGGCAATTGTGAAGGGGATCCATGTGCATCTGCAAGTAAGATGGGAGATGGTCTTTGTGGTAATAACCACAGACAGAGAATCTTTAGTTGCAAATTGAGTGCTCCCATGAGACTTATTTTTAGTCTGACATATTCCATGGTATAACTAGTGGCCTACCTAAATTGCAGCAGAAGTTTGTGGTGCAGTAGTGCCTTTAATCTTGTTCTTTTTGCTGCACTGTGCACCCTGCCACTTGCCCTCTCTTTCTTCCCCCACCCCACTGAGAGGCCAAGAGACAATTAATGCCACACTTTTTGACACTTGACCACTGATCGGTGGGGGGCCACGGTGCACAGTACAAAGAACAAAATTAAAGGTGCTGCTGTGCCACAGACGTTTGCTGTGATTAAGGTAGGTCCCTAGTTATAATAAAGTTGTAGAATGTGTAGGCCAGGTACAGACATCACACTTTTACCAGTATAAATGATCAGAAACGGATCTGTACCCATAATAGGACTCTGGCACACAGAGACTGGTTTAAAAATGGCAGAACCTTCCCCCCACCTACCAAAGGGCAACTGTTTGTTACTGATCTAAATGCTGCTTACAGAAAGCCACATATTTTAGATTGCTTCCGTCTTCGGCTTCTTGAATGTCTATACCTAGCTGTAGAGTAATGGAGTTAATTCTAATAAGTACATGATCTGAGGATAGGTATTTTCTTCCGTATTATGTGTTTACAAAAGACCAGCGTCATTAAAGATATAGGCTTGAAAGCCTATCTTTTTGCACTTAAAAAAGGGATACTGTGGAATTAATGCGGCTTTTAAAAAATTCCTGTTTTAAATTGTTTGGGAAAACAGCCAGTAAAAATGACCGGTAGAGTCCTATCAACATCTAGCATTTCAATGTCATTAGTTAACTGAAGCTATTCCACCTTTATGACATCAGTGGTATTAATCATAAGTTTGGGTCAAAGGGAAATTTGCTAATCCTTCAAAAGGCAGCTTTCCTTTCTGATTAAGTTACCTACTTTGTTACGTCAAGTTCATACTTGTGGTATCCATGCATAGTGCTTGTGGTGGTTTTCTCGCTTGAAAAAGTTTTGTTAGGGTGCATCTCTTTAGAACATTGTTTAGGAAGAGCATACCTTTGCAACAATGGTGCATTTCACAGATGTATAGAGTAACGAGGTACGGTAAATGGCACTTAGAGGAGGGCCTAAGTACCTAAGGGTGTTGCAAAATGTTTTTTGAACACCACTTTTGAGAAGAGCCTTCCTTCAGTAATTCTTGAATAAAAAGAATAAACTGAGTTATTTATCTGTGTTCAGCTGTGAAGGATGTGGGAAGGAGGAAATTAAATTCTCTCAAACAATTTAAGAGAAAACTATGGGTTGATTTGGTGAAATGTGGTTAGGATTACTTTGTATTCTTTTAGTCCAAAAAGACTTGATAAAGGGAATTTGCTGGGGGAGGGGGGTGACTCATTTTATCTGTGATAGTTATATTTTAACTTTGTATAGTATATGCTCCACTTTGTAGTGATTTTGATTTAAAAAAAAATTATGCATACACAAATAATAATTTGATGATTTTGCTTTTAAAAGCTATGCCCCCTGGTGTTCAGCTTGTCAGCGGCTTGAATCAACTTGGGAGGATTTTGCAAAGGAAAGCGAACTTCTAGATCTCGCTGTAGGGAAAGTGGATGTCACGGAAGAACCAGGTACTGTTTGAAATGGGCTCTGTACAGGTATTTATATTAAAAGGAATATGTAACCTAAGCAGGTGTTAACTATTGGGAATATGCTCAATTTCACTGGGGCAGCTGGGATACTCACCAAGTGGAAAAAAAACACTAAATCAAAATAAAACATTACTTTTTTTCTGGACTGTTCTTTATGCTGTTAAATTTACAGCTGTTCTTTTACCTTGGCCAGTCATCAGCTTTAAGGCCCTATTTATGTAGCAAGTATAAGATTGAAGGGTCTACTTACAATTTTGGTTGATTTCTGCCATGGAAAGCTGTCATTTGATTGACATTTTTCAGGGCTGGATTGTAATTTGGGAGGCTGAAAAGTATGAATTCCTCTGGGTAAGGAAACAACTTTTGAGCTTGCTCTATTAAAAATTCAATTTTAGCTTGGCGGTCTCTCAAATTTGCCACTTCATTATTTTTTTGTAGTTACCTGATTATTATACTGCTTTGAAGGGACAGGTTTCCTTCCTCCTTGAGCATGTATAGAAAAAGAGCTTTTAGAACACTTGTGCTATAATTATACTTGCAGATTAAGTTATTTCCTGCCTTCAGTTGTATTTTTTTCATAACACATTTGTAACATTTTGAAACGCATGTTAATCTAGGAAGTGTGTGTAGATAAAGTTGAAATATGTTACATTTATTAGGTCTGTGAAAGAAAATGTCTGTATGTACTTTTTAAATTTATTAATATAGTGGTAACTTCCAGTGATAAATGTGGAAGGGGACTGATTACACCCAATGAGAACACCAAAGCTGATAGTTTTGCTTTATCAGACTAAAGACGTGCATGCATATTTCATGGGGTTTTTGCTCAAGATGGTGATGCTTCACATGAGTTAACTCCTTGCCGTTAATTTTAGCAAGTTCAGACTTAATTTTCAATACCTGTGAAGCTGAACTCTGGTCTCAAAGACAAAGAATGCTAACTATTCCTAGAAGTTCAGTGTGTACTTGTGAGTGGAATTAGTAACCTGGAGATGTACCAGACTTCTCCAAAAGTGATAGACTGTCAATATGGGCTGTTCAGCCATTAATCATGATTAGCAGATTAATAAATAGATGCGTTTGAACAAAACTTTTTCTTTTTTGCCCATGACCAAACTAAAAAAACCCTCTGTTTTTGCATACTAAGGGAACCATGAAAACTCCATTATGGGGATGTAGGCAGTATGTCAAGCCATGGTCGTAATTAATATTTCATTACAAACCTGACCTTTTACTTCTGCCATTAATTAAAAGACAAACTTCTTCCCTTTGTAGAGTGCTAAAAGAATGAAGTTTTGATCTTCATTGAGGGGATCAGCGTACAACTATGATGCAAATCCAGTACATTTCTTTTATGTGCATAGCCTCTGGAGTGAAAAAGGCCATGTGCTTAACCAGTGGGTGCACTTACCTTTAAACAATTGGAGCTTGTTACCTACATGGTTGGGTCACTGCTGTGGTATTAGCAGCCCTGAAACCCTTTAGTTCCTCCCATTTTCATGTTTTTTAAAAATCAGTGCTGGAACTGCTAGGAGAAGCCTTGAAAATATGGGCTGCTTCTAGCTATGAGGCTCATTCCATATACTTAAAAACTTCTAATAGTAGAATTTTTGTTTCTAGTGTAAAGGGACTGAAGTGACTTTTAAAGTGGACAGTTGCTGTTGTAGTTAAGCAGAATAGTATAGGTTATGAAGTAGACGGTAGGGATGATGCATGGTATGTGATGAAATGGCTTGTTTTTAACTAATCCTGGGTCTGCTAAAATGTTAGTGATAGGCAACAAATTGGGACTGTCACTGTGTTGAGCAGTTAAGCAAATGATGCACTTACCTACGATGCATGTACACAAGGTGGACAAGGGTTTCTTAGGGTGATATATTTTATTGGAACAGCTGTGCACTTGGGATAAAGTTAGACAAGCTTTCCAATGCAAGACATTCTTTTTCCTTTCCATTCTAAGCAGCAGATTGTGGTATCTTCCATGTGATGGTAGTGTAAGAGTGATTTTGCAGCCACGACAGGCCAGAAATTATGTGAGAGGCAAGGATCCCTGGGCTGTCATGGCTGCAACATCACTCTTACAGCACTGTAACATGGAGAATATCAAAATCTGCCAGTTAGAATGGAAAAGAGGAAGAACGTTTTGCATTCAAAAGCTTGTCTAACTGTCCCATGCTTATAGCTGGTCTAATAAAACATTTCCCTGAGAAATCCTTGCTCTTTCATAATTTCTGGACTGTCATGGATAAATCATTCTTACACTACTATATACATAGAGTATGCATTTTTAGAAACTAGAAGTTTCAAATGGTACGCAAGAAAGGTAGAATTGTTTGGGGAAAACTTCTTGAATAAATTAGTATTTTTGCTTAAGGGGTTTTTGATTGTAGCTGTGTTGGTCTGAAGCCCTAGGCAGACATATCTCTACCACCTCCCTGCTGCCTGCTTTATTTTTATTCCTATACACATCATAGTCTGGCAATGAGGCAGCTGCGGAGTAGTGCTGGGGGGTTGTGCTAAACCTTGCCTGCTTCTCTTTGGTTAAATTTTTCTTGGTTTTTTGGTGATTATCTTTTTACTGGAATGTAGTTGGTCCAATAAAAGATAAAAACAAAACCCCTTGCTGCCTGTATGTTTCCTGGACCATCACAGCTCCAGCAACACTCCAACCCTTTTTTTGGTTATGTAGATTAAAAGTTCTTGATAGGATTTTCAAGATCCTAAGGGTTATACCTCTACTACCTTCCTGCTGCCTGATTATTTGTACTTCTATGCACTTTGGAGTCTGGTAGCTAGGCAGCTGCAGAGCAGCGTGGGGGGTTGTCCTATGGACCACCCCAAAACTGTCTGCTGCCTGACTGCTGGCATCACACATGCTTGGAGGAGAATGAGAGAGTGGACCTTGTTTCCCAGTAATTATGTGTAGACTAAGCCCAGATCATTTGGCTCTTAACTTAAACTTGCAAGTCCCATTATTTAGTGGCTGTCCTATGTTGGGTCCCTTCAGAAGGAAAAAATGCATTTACAGTAACAAAGTTTTGTCTTTTCAACTTTTTTCAATGGCTTCTAAAAATTAATTTCTTAAAAATCAGTTTTTCAGTTGAAAACTTCCCCCTTCCCCTTTGTAATGTACCATGAAGTGTGCATAACTGCAACCTTAATGATGTCCCTGTTCTCAGTATTTATGTATCATCTTTTTTTTGTTACTGGTCTTCTGTTTCTATCTCTTTATTTAAGTCGGAGTTAAAGAAAACTCTCTGGATTGAGGACACAGTCATGTACTTGCTCTGAGAGATACTTAGGGCACTTGCTATTTTGCTGTTCTCATTAACACTTAAATGTTTGCTTTTCTCCTTTGTCTCTTGCTACTTTTCTCTCAACCTTACATTCCCCAGACATTTATTAGCTTGCTGGTAGCTGTATCAACCAAGGGTCTCTCATGTTCACTTCATTTTTCATATTTGTGCTCATCTTCTGTTTCTGAAGTTTCTTTCAGGCTCTCTCATTCCTTCGTGGTCAGATTAGAAGTAATTTCTTTTCTTCAAGATGGCACGCTTGTGAGGGGGTATTTTCCCTTCCATTCCTAATGTGTGTCAAAGGAGGGGAAGGACGAGAATCTCTGAAACTTCCCCCTGGCTCTGGAGGTTTTAGTAGTGCGCTGTATGGCATGTAACTACTTGCTTTAGACTTGCCTTCCCCCTGCTGCCCCCCCCCCCCAAAAACAAACAAACAAACCCCAAAAAACCCAAAACAAACAAATCAAAAAACCAAAGAAAAGCAGGTTTCTGTGAGCCTAGTTGAACAATCTTCTCCT